TGATGTCAGCCAGTAACTTTCTTTTTTGCATAAGCCAACTGGAACTGAATTTTCCACCACTTTGTACAAAAGAAAGAGTCCTACTTGGTACCGCCTCTAAGGATGTGTGCTCCCTCTCTATACCTTCATGACTCCAAAATCTCTAGAGAACTGAGACAACTCTTGGGAGCTCCAGATTCATATCCACCCACCTTGTGGATGTTTGCTCCCATATGTCACACCCAGGCACCTCGGATCTAACATGTGCAAAATGGAATTTATCATCTCTGCTTCTTCCATCTCAATATGCCATACTTTTGAGTTTTTCTCTACCCTAGGAAAAACATCACCACCCACCCAATCACTCCAGACAGAAGCCTAGGACATCCTAGACCCCTCCTGCTTAAGTGAGCCTGCTGGCTAAGGCCCCAAATGACACTTCATGATCTTATGGCTTTGGATAGAATAATGACCACAACTGAGCCTTGTATTTCCACTCTGACTTGCTACAATTCAGTGAGATGATGTATGTATATGTAAAGCAATACATGCTGGACATTTCCATTCTGTATTACAGATAGCTAGCACATCCCTAAATACTAACTCAAAATTTCATCTTCATCTCCTTACCCCAGCTCAGAGTATCACATCATCTTTTTCCTGGAACTCCTACTAGACATTTTTTATCTCATCTTCTTATCTTTGATCTCGCCCCCATTCCAATCTGTCCTCCCCGTTACTGCCAGACTGATGGTCCCCTACACAAACCTGGTGCTGCCATGTTCCGGCACCCGAAGTTCCCTCTACTCCAGCTACGGAATAGCTCCCAGTTATGTTAATATTCATTGCCACTCTCCACATGACAATGTTTCCATTGTCTGGGATGCCCTATCCGTTCTTTTTCCACCTGGAGAAGACTCATCCTAAAAATTTAGTGAAAAACGGGCCTCCTTGGTGGCTAACGGGGTTAAGATGCAACCTATGAAGTGCGCCACAGCCACTGCAGCATGAGTTCGATCTCTGGCCGGCCAGGGAGCTACCCACATGGCGCAGCAGACCTCTCCTGACTCACCGGCTTCTCCCCTCAGCAGTGTGTTTCAGTTGATCTGCCTGTTCTGTTCCCCACTCTGTCTCTGGTGAATTCTCTCACCCTCCCACAACTCTGGCCAGTTCTTGTATGTATAAATAAATAAATCTTTTTTAAGAAAAAGATTTCATGAAAAAAAATTCCCATTAAAGTAAATGTAGACACTAAGTTAGCTAAAGAGGCTCACAGGCAAATTCAAACCCTAAACTTCCTGTTGTCAAAGAGAAGAGGGAAACTGGAGAAAAGAAACAGTAATTTAAAATATATTTAAATTTTAAAAAAGCAAAGAAAGAACGGAGAGGAAAGACAAAATGTAGGAAAAGTTAATTGTGAGATAGGAGAGGGCTTCCAAAGCAGAACAAAAAACTTGAAGAAAAATAATATTGATTTAACGACGTACAAATTAAAAACTTCTGTACAATATGCAAAGTTGAAGAAGACATAAGACACGGTATTTAATTTATTCACAAGAAAGGAATGAGAGTTCAGAAATTATAAAGAGCCTTACAAATTGATGAGATTACAAACAAGTCAATAGAAAAACTGGATTGGTATCCTACCTGTTACCTGAGCATAAAACAAACACAAACCAAGGGACCTCCCTGGTGGCACAAGTGGTTAAGCACAGCTCTGTGACGCTATCTGCAGCCTCTACAGTTCGATCCCACGCCAGGGAGCTACCCACATGGCGCAGCAGACCTCTCCTGTCTTGCCCACTGTTCCCTCAGCAGGTGTATTTCAGTCAGTCTGCCTGTTCTGTTCCCCACCTGTCTCTGGTGCGTCCTCTCACCACCCACACCACCCACACCTCTGGCCTGTACCCCAGGCCAGAGTTCTTGTATGCATAAAAAGAAAAAAAACCGAAATCAAATGTACCTGCTAATGTTTTATCCCTGATGAAATTAAAAACTCCTTTCTATATTTTCCCAGTGTTCCCTGACCACATCAGCCAGGAAAGTCACCCTCAGCCCTGCTGGGCACATAAACTGGCCAGGAAAAAAAAAAAAAAAACAAAACAAAACCCTAGCTGTGAGCTCTCTCGTGATACAGAACCACAGATGAGATCAGTACAAGTTGCGTGAATGGGGTGTTGAGTCATAAACTCCAGGTAGCGTTGAAAGCGCTCTCTAGTATTGTTGATATTTTTTTTTTGTTCTCAAAGAGAAACAGAGAAGATACCCCTTTTCCCTCCTGTCATGCCTCATTGCATCTCAGAAAGACAGCCAGTGCTTCCAAAAGAAGGTCCAATGGAGAAATTGCAAATTGGCAGTCTGCAGGCCACAACCAGCCTGCACACATAATTTGGTTGTCCCTACACTTAAAAAATGTTTTGAATTAGTTGCCAACTTTTAAAACATGGAACTTCTTCCCATAAAAATGTACCACTTACCGCCAAATTCAGATCAGACAACAATGGACTAGGGCCTTGTCACATCTGCACCAGCCTCCTTCGCGGAAGGGCTGCTCCACATACATACCCCTAGCCCTCCTTTTCCAAGCAGGCCTCCCAACCAGCCCCAGCCAGGATTCATACTACAGGAATGTACCCCCTTTGGGTGACATCTAGGTCAGTTTCAGTTCAGCTGATACTGTCTACTATGGAATCCAAACAGAATTTAGGCTCTCTGATCACAGGGCATTCCTTCTGTCTCCCACTACACAGTGCTGCAACACAGAGAGGAGGGTCTGAACACCTAAGCACTTGGATTTAATTTCTAAAATGCCAGACAAGTGTCCTTACAACCCATCCCTACGGGTCCCCACTTACCCCTCCAACTGGGTGGTGGAGCTTTAGGGCAGGAAGTCCTGAGTTCAAAGACCCGCCTGTGTGATGGAGGTCAGGTGAAAAGGGTTGCCAAGTCAAAAGAATTATGTTTAATAGCAACTACTTCATCATTCTGGAGTCTCAGTTTCCTCGCCTATAAAATGGGCTAATAGCTCTCCACAGGGCCATCATGTGAAATATGAAAGTGCTTGTAACATCTCGCAAGCATAAAATTGGTATGGGCTAGGACAGGAAAAGAGGTGCAATCTAGAAGAAATGGACAGCATGCAGCCCTATTGAAGAGAGTTGGATGAAGAGTCCTTGTCCTAGTTCTGAGGTCCATTCCCACCTTCTGTACTGCTCCGAGGGCCTGGGACTGCCTCTCCTCACCTGTTTCAGTGGCTTCAATAAGAGGATCCTACTGGAAAGCAACCAAATGGTTCTTCCAGCTGATTTCCTGGTTGGGGGTGGTGGAGAGGGAAAAGGCAAGAAGCTTGGATTGAACCTGTGGCTGATCTGGAAGAGCGATTGGTCGTGATGTCCCTCCTCCCCAGCCCGAGCACGCGGAGAGGGGCTCCCCTCTTCTAATACAGTTACCCTCACTCCACACTTCCAGGCACCAAGGTCCTTCCCCTCCAAAACCACACCTCCTTACTTTACAGACAGGAGTCTCAAATGACTTGCTCTCAAAAGCACTTCGCAAAACGGATGAAAGGTACAATAACGAACAAAAATAGCCACAAAGATGTGATACGAAGTGATGCCCATGCACTGCTGTCCGCAGACCTCTGCGAAGAGCACCACATCCCAGTTATCTCACACATTCCAGTCTCACAGGCCTTTGTCAAAAGGTCGCATGGGGTTAAGCTCTGGTTCAGAAGGCGCCCAAGGCTGGCCAAGTACCCCCAAAGCTAACCGGATTCCCTCTCGCAGAGTTGGGGGGCAGAAACGCCCACCCCGCAGCGTTAGGGCACCGGGCGACTTCGGGGCGCGCCTCTCGCCAGGTTGGGCGGACAGAACCCAGCTTCCCTCGGAGGGTAGGGCTTACCTGGTCCCCACGGATGCCAGCCGAGGGCCGAGGCCGCATCGCCCCCAAACCTGTCCCCGAGCAGGACACGGGGCCCCTTGGCCCCAGGATGCCAGGTCCCGAGTGCGCGCCGAGTTCCCCCTCCCCGTGGTCTCAGAAGGGGGTTCGGAAGGTGCCCGGGAGTGGGGCGGGCGGGTGGGAAGGGCCTCTAGGAACCCCCGGCTGCCGGGGAGGGGCGCGACCCCCAGATCTTCTCACAAAGAGCCCTGGCTCACCAAAGCCGGGCGGAGCGCGGCCAGGAGGCTCTCCCCTACCCCCACCAGGGGCGCGGGGAGAAGAATAGCACCGTGGGGGTGGGGAGACGGCGGGAGGCGCGCGCGGAGACCCCCGCAGAGCGCGCCCTGCGCCCCAGCCCCGCACTGGAAGATCAACTCCACGCCCCCCCGCCCCAAGCCATGCACCCGGCCCAGCCCCCTTGGCCACCCCCTGTCCAGTCCCGCGCCCTCAGAGCCCCAAGCCGGTGCTCACCCGGGAGCCGCCGCCGCGGCAGCGCAGGGCCCAGCCCGGCCGCCTCCCCACCTCGGGGCCGCCGCTGCTTCCTTCCTACTAGCCCGCCCGCGCTGGGGGGCTGAGGTGTCGGGTTTCACTCCGCCGAGCCCCCGCTCCGCGCCTCCCGCCGCCCCGCCGCCCGCACGCGGACCCGGCCGGCTGCAGCCAAGTAACTTCGCCGCGCCGGTGCCCCAGCACCGCCCCGCGCCCCCGCGCCCCGCCCGAGCCCCGCGCGCCGCCGCCCGGCCCGCCCCTCCAGCCGCCCGCCATCCTCACGCCCCTTCTCGAGCGCCTGCCCTCCCCCGGCCACTTTCCCGTCTCTTCCCACGATCCGCCTCGCCTGCTGCTCTTTGTCTCGCCCCTGCCCTCTTGGCGCGCCCCACTTCGCCCCTGGAAACCTCTGCTGGCCCACCTCGGGCCTTCCCGGGTCCGGTTCTCCCGTCCCGGTTCCGGCCGGTGGGACGTCCCTTTTACTGTTTTTCTCTCCATCACACTTAAATACTTTCGGATTCTTCCCCGAGCCTCCGACATTCCTATTCTCTCCTTCTGCGCTCTCGGCTGGACCTCCAGCTGGCATCGCCTCTCCTGCTCACCTTTCATTCATCCAGCCGATGTGTGTGAGCATCTGCCCGGTGCCAGGCACTCTCCTGGGCCCTGGAGCTGTCCCAGGGAATCAGCCGCAGCGCCAGCCTTTGAGGAACCCACAGCCCTGGGGAGTGGGAGGGTGGACGTAAACAGATCTTGACGGTGCTGCTCTGCTCTCGCTCCAAACACAGAGGCCCGGGAGCAGTAGTTACAGGACACAGGCCTGCTTGCTGCCTCTTGCCTTCCTCGGAGCTCCTCGTCCTGTAAAAGTCCCCAGCCTCCTACGTTTTCTATGCAACTGTCTTAGTAAGGAGATGCAAAGTTGAAGCAAGCAGTAAAACTGTTTTCAAAAGGAGGCAGGGAGGGAGATCAGGGAGGGCAAACAGAAAGGAGGGCAGGCTGGGAGAAAGGGAGGCCAGGAGGACAAACAGGGCCGCAAATAAATCAGGTAAGAAGTTACCCAGTTCACCGAACTCAAATCTAAAACTGATGCTGTGCCCACAGCAGGATTCAAATTCTTCCGAAATCCATCTGCTTTGATAAATGCATTAATTATTCCCTAGTCTACAGATTGGCACTGTGGGACCTGCTTCCTTATTATTATTAGGCCGCTGAGACACTATTTAGAACTATAATTTGCTATCTAGCACCTGCCAAACACCCAGCTTGCTTCAGGGACTATTGGGATAATGGGGAGGGAAAAAAGTAATGGATGCCTTAATATTCCTTTGGGATAAGTGCTTTACTTTGTCAAAAACTGGAAGCTGAAACTCCTCTCAGACTCCAGGTCACCAGCAAGACAGGCGCTTGAAGGCCCTTGAAGCAGTCTGTTCTCCAGAGTATTTTAGACATTTATTCTGAAATCCCTGGTTATTTATTTAATTTGCACTGACTCAGACATACTGGCTAAGCTTTATGACCCTGGGGGAGTTAGTTAACCTTTCTGAATCTCAGCTTATTCATATCTAAAATAGGCATACTCATACCTGCTTATCTGCAGTTAAAAAAATGAAGAGAGATAATCTAAGTAAATCACCTAATGCCATAGAACCTGAGAGCTAAACCCTCTTGAAAATTGGTATTCAAGGCATGCTTGAAAATATAAGCCATGGATGGCATGGAGAAAATTAGAGGCAAAAACAATTATGGCTCTTTCAGCTCCATATCCACACATAATGCAAAAGATGTCCTTCCCATGCTTATTCTATTTCATTTTAAACTCTTCAACTGAAAACATTTTTTTCTCCTGCTGCTCATTATCAAATATATTATTTATCACAAAGATTTTCTTCCATAGCTCACAAGCTCAGAACTTACTGTGCATTCATGGATAGAAATTGCTGCCAACAAACGCATTTTTTCAATTGCTCTCTTAGGTTTGTGTTTTATTTTCCTTCTAGAGCTAATATTGAGCTGTGAGCAGTATTCAGTCAAAGGCAGACAAAAACAGAACAATTATTAGAGTAATTATCCCACTATATGTCACTGGACAGGTGATTGATTTTGTGCAATAATAACTTTTTTTTTGGCTAAAGATATATTATTCTCCTTTCCCAAAGCAATTTTAAAACCTACTCCTTTTGGAGGTCCTCCCCAAGGTTTCTGAACAAAAAAGAATAAGGGACCTCCTCCAAGTGAATCCTAAATACTGGAAAAAGAATCTAAATATGATGAGACATCTTTGATATAAATATCTTCTCAATTCAGCAGTCCACCTAAAACTAATCAAAGCAAAACTGTGAGGTATGCTGTCTGTTCACATGGAATATATTTTCCTCACCCTTCACATCTCAGCTGAAAAGTCATCTCTTCCGAGAAGTCTTACCTGAGCAATCGAAAAATAGTTCTTTAACCTCTACTTCTCTGAGTTTCTATTTTTTTCTCTATAAAGTATATTCCAATGTATAGTGTATATGTATTTTCTATTTACTTGTATGCTTCCTCTAGTAGACAACATGAAGGCAGAAACACTATCATTTATTTGCCACTACAGACCCAGGGCCTAATCCAATGAAACTTTATAAATAAGTTAAAGAAAAAAATTAAAATAAAGTATATCTTTGGGGGCCTCTTGTTCTCAAACTTGGGAATATTGAAGAATCCCTTGGAGATTCTTAGGTACACCAAAAGCACAATTAAGGAGGAATTTGATATGTTGAATTTTGTCAAAATTAAAAACTTTCATGTTTTCAAGGAAACCATCAAGAAAATGAAAAGATAGCTCAGAATAGGATAAAATATTTGCAAATCATATATCTGATAAAGGACTGAAGAAACTACATATGTGGGTAAATTTGAACATAGAACACCCACATCCCAATAATAAAAAGATAAACAACCCACTTTAAAAAATGGGCAAAGGATCTGAACAGACATTTCTCCAAAGAAGATGTATAAATGGCCAATGATTACATGGAAAATTGCTGGAAATTATTAGTCATTAGGAAAATACATATCAATGTATTTGTGTTTAAATCCATACTTCCTAGTATAGCAGTAAGGAAAAAGGTAATTACAAGTGTTTTGGGAGATGTGGAGAAATTAGAATATTGTACATTGCTGGTGGGGATGTAAATTGATGCAGCCACCTTTTTTTTAAATAATCACTTTACTTTTTTACTTTATACACTTTCTGTATTGAATTCTTAATAGTAAGTATATATTATTTTTTAAATAGTTTTAAATTAAAATAAGGCTAAATATCTGATAAAGATATCCAAGTGTATATAAATGTGTGTTTTCACCTACAACACATATTTGTTGAGCACATATCATGTGCTCTTGAGATACATCAGTGGGTAAAGTGGACAAAGATTCCTGCCCTCCAAGAGCTTACTTTCTAACTAAAATTAGAGCAGATAGGGAGGATGTGGAAGCAGTGGAAGAGGGTAGTTTTCAATAGTACACTGGGTGATCAGGGTATGACTTTTTGAGAATCAGACACTTGAGCAAAGATCTCGAAGATGCAAGGAAGTTAACTTAGGATGTCTGAGGAAAGGGCAGCTAGACAGATGGACCAGCTAATGCAAAGTATCAAATGCAGAGATGTGCCTCACATGTTCAAGGACCAAGTCAGCCAGGGAGTGCTGGAACAGAGTGAGCAATCTGGGGGCAAGAGTAGAAGATGAGGTCAGGCAGGTGAGCGAGAAGAGGGGAGTCCATGGGATGGGATCCTGATTTTCACTATGTGTAGAATTGGGAAGATTTTGAGTAGCAGATGATGGTGTGTGGTGCCAGGATGCTATCAGCAAAGGAGATGAGAAAGAGTTGGATTCTGTCTGTATTTTACAGGTAGAGGTTATAAAATTTCCTTATATGTTAGATGTGGACTATAAGAAAAAAGGTAGTGTCCAGGTTGACTCCAGGGCTATTGTCCTGAGCAGCAGGAAGGATGGAATCCATCAACTGAGTTAGAGATGCTGCAGACAGAAATAAATAATCAGGGGTAAGAATTTCAGTCTGGACAGGTAGAGTTTGTGAGATCTCTTATTTATCTGAGTGGGGAGGTGTGAACCACAGATACAAATTTTGGAATCTGCATATAGCTACAGCTATACATCTATAATTCTCTCTATATACAGTTCACATTTGAGCTACACAGGTTTGAACCCACATAGGTCACCTTATACACAGATTTTCTTGTAAATGAATGATGTAAACTAATGGTATTGATAAATACAGTATAGTACTGTAAATATATTTTCTCCTCCTTATGATTTTTTTCTCCAGCTTCCTTTATTATATGAATACAGTATGCATTACATCTAAAATCTAAAATAGGGGGCCTCCCTGGTGGTGCAAGGGGTTAAGCACTGCACTACGAAGCAATCCGCAATCTCTGCAGCATGAGTTCGATCCCTAGCTGTCCAGGGAGCAACTCACATGGCGAAGCAGACCTCTCCTGCCTCGCGCTGTTCCTCTCAGCAGTGTATTTCAATTGGTCTCCCTGTTCTGTTCCCTGCTCTGTCTCTGGTGAATCCTCTCACCACCACCACCACCCCCCCACATACACACGTCTATGTAGATCTGCTTGTTCTACTCCCCACTCTGTCTCTGGTGAATCCTCTCATCCCCCACCTCTGACTTACACCCCAGTTCTTGTATGCATAAATTAATAAATCTTTAAAAAATAAAATAAAAGATGCTCGTTTTGTTCCTGTGTGGGGTACATCTCTGGCCTGTACCCCAGCTCTTGTGTGCATAAATAAATAAATAAATCTTAAAAAAAATTTTTTATAAAATCTAAAATATGTTAATTGATTGCTTATGTTATCAGTGAGGCTTCCAGTCAACAGCAGGCTATTAGTAGTTCAATTTGGGGGGAATCACAAGTTTTATATAGAATTTTTATTGTCGTGGGATCGGTGACTCTGACTCCTGGCATACAGGCAGATTTTAGGTCTGCTGTATACAGTGCCACAGATTTGGCGCCTTAGAACAAAGAACAATTATTGATTCTGTTCCGGAGGCTAAACATCGTAAACCAAGGTGTGGGCAGGGCCATGCTCCCTGGGAACCTGTGGAGGAGAACCTTGCCTTCCTGCTCCCTAGCTTCTGGTGGCTGTGGGCACTCCTTGCCAGCACCCCAGTTGCTCCCTCTCATCATCTAATGTTCTCCCCCCTATATCCCAATCTCTGTGTCTTTTCACAGCTGGACACCAGTTGTACTGCTTTGAGCACCCATTGCACTCTAGATAGACCTCATCTTCACCTTCCCTAATTACATCTGCAATGACCCTGTTTACAAATAAGCTCACATCTTGAGATACTGGGGGTAAGGACTTCAACATATTGTTTTGGGGGACACAATTCAACCCATGACATTGAATGATCTTCCCAAGGACGTGAGTGAAAATAAAAAGAAGTGGACAGAGGACTGAACCCTAGGGCACTGCAATACTGAGAGGCTGAGGAGAGCAGGACCCATTAAGGCATCTGAGAAGTAGGGTGTGTTGGAAACCAAGTGGGGTGTCCTGGCAGTCAAGTGGAGGGAGCACATCACAGAGGAGGGGAAAGATCACCAGCACACAGATCAAGTACAAACGGGCTTGGGAATTGAGCTTTGGTTTTCAAGCATTTTCTCATGATCTTAGGAAGGAATCTATGGGATAGTGCTAGTCCAGTCCTGATGAGAGCAAGTTTAAAAGGGACAGGGAGGAGAGAAATTGGAGTGCAGAAACCTATTTGAAAAGGAAGCAAAGATACAGTGTTGCCTGGTGTGGAAAGTGGGATCAAGAGAAGGGTTTTTTTTTTCCTTAAATAGGAACAAAACGAGCATCTTTTATTTTATTTTTTCAAAGATTTATTAATTTATGCATACAAGAACTG